ATTAGAAACCTCGAAGAAAAGTTTCTATTTTCTATGGAAAACTACCTACTAACGAAAACCCAATCTCGCAGACCGACGACGTGGGAGTCTTTGGAAGTAAACTTTCAGAGGAATATGCACTTGTAGCGAAACATTTCCATCTTGACAGGAATGCGATTTGTGAGCTGGCGAGAAGTGGGATTGAGACGATTTTTGGGGGGGAGGAGGATAGAGAGAGGTTGAGGAGGATTATGTGGAGGGGGTAGGGGTGGTGATTGGGGTTGTGGTTGTGGTTGTGGTTGTGAGGATGAGGATGGGGATGGGGATGAGGATAGAGATGGGGATGAGGATAGGGATAAGAATGAGAATAAGAATGGAAATGGGAATAAGAATAAAGATAGAAATAAAAATAAAAATGGGGATGGAGATGGGAATAGAAATAGAGATGAAAATGAAGATAAAGATGGGGATAGGGATAAGAATAGAGATGGGAATAGGGATGGAGATGGAGATGAAGATAGAGGCTAGGTGGGATGAGGTGGATTGAGAAGAAGGTGAGGGAGATGATGTGGATATTGGTGTGTGGTGAGATTGGGATAGAAATATAGAATCTGGAATATCTCTTCATCTATTGAATTGTCTCACTTTGTTTTCTTTTGAGCAGTTGACCTTGACTACCTCGATATTATGTAGAAGTATATGGAATGTATAGTAAAATGTGTTCTGTGACATAATTCTACTTTTTGTAAACTTCAAATTGTACTTTTATTTCTGTATGCTATGCTATGCTCTTCTAAACTATGCTATGAGCTTTTAATATATGATATATTAATGTACGATATGCGATGCCAATCCATACCGAGCTAATCTACCCAGAAGCATCCAAATCCAACCCAAAAAGTCGAATCGCATTACCTCCCAGAATAGCTTTTTCCTCCTCACTTCCCGCGCCGCACGCGCTACTTATAGCATCTTTATTCATGGAAACACTTAGCCACTGCTTAGGCTCTTCTCCTTTCCCTTCCTCCTCCTCATCCAAGGGTGGGAAAAACGGCGCGTCGGTTCCAAACATTACTCTATCCGCACCACTCACCCCAACTGCTCCTCGCACCCCCACATCTCCATAAACTACCGCGTCTAACCAGATATTCTTCTTCAAGATTTCCCAGATGGTTTGCCTGCCCTCGGCTAATTTTCCTTCCGCCTTTAGATGCGCATCATGCAGCACGCAACTTTCTATTCTCCCTGCTAGAAATGGAAGGGTGCCACCGCTATGCGCTAGAATGACTTGTAAATCCGGTACGGAAGTAAACACTGAGGAGAGAATCATGCGGGTAACGGCGATGGTGGTTTCCATTGGGAAACCAAGAGCGAGAGGAAGAACGTGACCGTAATCATTTCCTCTGGGGCCGAAAACCGAGGTTGGGAGTCCGTAGTGCGGATGCAGAAAGATGGGGAAGTTGTTGGCGGCCAATTCTTTGAAGATGGGGAGGAGAGCGGGATCGTCGAGTCCGGAGCCGAGTCCGCTGGTGCCGAGGATGATGCCGCGGCAGTAGGGGAGGGTTTTGAGGTGGGCGATGCTTTCGAGGATGGAGGATGGAGGGGCGGATAGGGGGAGCGTGCCGAAGAAATAGAGACGCGTGGGGTGGAGGGCGCAGAGGGAGTTGATTTCGGAGTTGATTGATAAAGCGGTCTGGAGGGCGGTGGTGGAGGGAAGCCAGTCGAGCCAGGGGTTTGCGAGGGAGATTATCGAGGTGCGGATAGAGTGGGTGTTCATGAAGTCAATTCTTTCGGAGATGTCATAGCTAGAGGTTTAGAGGATTAGTTCGGAAAATTGGAAAATTGAGAGTTTCATTGCGGATAATGCTGAGAGGTAGGAAGAACAGGAGGCAGTGAGGTTTCTTGAAGAGCTTTTGTCTTATGTAGACTACCGAGAAATAAATCTCGAATCGATTGTCTGTCCAACATGAAGTTCAATACTTTGAAATTGTATAGCTGGATATGACATTTGGGAGGCTGGTCACTTGACCTCGACATCTCGCCAGTCTTCTCCTCCACCACAAACACAACAAATACATTCTTCATCTCATTGACCCCGTCAATTTGCCTCTCCCCGTCTCTCTGACTTTACTATTAAGATCTCTCAAAATAGCAAGATATATAAAATGAAACACTCTAACTTACTATTCAGACCCAATCGGTCGTCCCCTACTTGTACTTGGTGTATCCTCTGCTGGTAAGATAACCAATCGATGTTCTTTCGCCGGAGGAAATTGTCTTATATAAGGGATTTCATCGCGCGATTTGAGAAGCTCAATATAAGACGGCGGATAGATGTGAGTGTGAATATCCACTATCGGGACCGAGGAGGACATTTTGATGGATATTTTTGAGCAATCTTCGGCGTAGAGGAAACAGTGGAATAAGGTTAGAAGAAAGGACGAGGAATAGAATATGAGACAAATCCACGAAAAGATCTTGTAGAAGATTTTAAACATAAAGAAGCGAAGTTCACTCTTCGTGAGAACACATATTTCGAAATCACTTGATCAGTCATACAATGGTAATTCAATCTAGTATGTAATAAAATGCATGACAATATCAAGATAGCTGGAGATCAACCTACCCCGCAACAGTACTCCCCTGTCCAGCAACCCCACCTCCTATTTAAATCCCGATCACAACCCTATCTTATCATTGAATCATAAATGCTCATCAGAACTCTTCCCTTTTGAATCAATTACCTGCCCTTTTTGGAGAGTAGATACATACTATCTGGCATTGGACCGAATGCGGAGAACGGCTTTGGCCGCGTGCGGCGTTTTTAAGTGAGGGGTTTGGGTGATATAAACTTTCTTAGTAGAAACGTAATTTTGTCTGGTTATTAGTTTTGGCACCGACGACGATATTGTGAATATTGAAGAACAGCATTAGACAAGATGTCGATAGAAGTAAAAAAGGCTGTGGATGTCGATAATCTCGTCATACCTGTAAATCTCCCGTCATTTCGATCCGCGTTCCACTCTTCTCCTCCTCTCGACACACATCCACACTTACCCTGATGCTAACAATATTCCTTCACAGATAATAAACTTCTCCCACTTCCTCACTGGCACTCCCTCGCAACGTCTCCAAACTGCTCAATCCATTCTCCACGGTTTCCGCACCGCAGGATTTATCTACCTTTCCCACCACCCTATTCCCCCACCCATCCTATCCCACACCTTTTCCACATCCGCCAAATTCTTCGCTCGTCCCTCTTCTGAAAAAGATCCATTAGCCTGGACCACACCCCTCGCAAACCGCGGATATGTAGCTCATGGTCGCGAGAAAACCACCACACTCACAGATAAAGAAGAGGTTGAGAAATTGAAAGCCCAAGCCCCAGATTTGAAAGAGAGTTTTGAGATTGGACGAGAAGGTCAAGAACAACTACCTAATAACTGGCCTGCTGTTACTCCCTCAGACCCCGATGCCAAAGAGTTCAAAGAGACGATGTTGAAGTTCCATGATTTGTGCAAGGAGCTTCATATAAATGTCATGCGGGCCATTGCTCTTGGAATGTCGCTTCCCGAATCCTATTTCGATGGTTTCACAAGTGCGGGTGATAATACACTTCGTTTACTACACTATCCACCTGCGAAAGCAAGTGTATTTAAGGAAAATAAATTGCAAGTTAGAGCTGGGGAGCATACAGATTATGGGAGTATCACACTTCTTTTCCAAGATGATAGAGGAGGACTCCAAGTAAAGAGTCCCAAAGGAACATTTGTTGATGCGACGCCAGTGCCGGGAACTGTGGTAGTTAATGCAGGAGATTTGTTGGCGAGGTGGAGTAATGACTTCATTAGGAGTACATTGCATAGGGTTGTGGAACCGCCTCCTAAGGAGGGGCAAGAGGTTCCGGAAGAGGGTATCTATCCGGCGAGATATAGTATTGCGTACTTTTGTAATCCAAACTTCGATCGAATGATTGAGGCAATTGAGGGGACGTATGGAGGGGAGCTCGGGGAGAGAAAGTATGAGGGGATTAATTCGGGAGAGTATTTGGTACAGAGATTGGCTGCTACTTATTAAGTTCTAGTTGGATCTATGTGGTTGTATATACGTTTTGAATTGAATAGTTGAGATCCCGTGTATTGGTTCTCTGTTTTTGGTAACTGAGTGGTAAATCTAAGATCCAGAGAGCACATTCTTCAAAGTAGGCTCAGTGTCCATGTATATAAGTCTATCTTAGCGGGAAACTAAAAATCGTGAACAAAGAAACTCGTTAGGGGTTAAAACTCGCTAATCATCAGAAGTCTTGGATGTCAGGAGTAATTTATGTGTTGCTTACTGCTGCAAGGCAAGTACACTCTGCAAGCCTTGTACATATTGGCATGATGATAATTGACAGCAATAAGAATCAATGCATCATCACACGTAGAGGACAACGACGATTCCGTATTTTTGATAGCAGCAGCCATATTCCGACTTTGTCTATCTATCCAAATGATCATCCATCACCAGTGATGACCAGTATGCTGCTTCTAAGAACAACAAAGCTGTGTTCCGATTCCAAGGAGACATATTAATTGTCTACATCTCCCGTAGCTGTTTCTGGAATATCGCAGTCAAATTTTGGGAAGGACTATTTGCAGAACAGAAGGGAGGTTGCTGCGTTGTAGAGCAATCGTTTAACTTTGTTTTCGAATCAAGAAGACTTGAGAGCCACTTCCTCACTGTATGGAATCAACGGACTCGGGAGATTTGGATCGGGGTGAAGAGGGTGGCACTCATTCTGATCATCACTGAATTTGTATGTCATATGAATATATTGAATAGGCTAAAGTTGATCTCCATCTTGATATCCAGTTCTCTAAATATCGACTATGTTATTGCATGTCGGGTATGTACAGGTCCACAGCATGCGTTAATGTACGGAGGGCGACCCGTCGATCGACTGACCTAATTCCACCCATGTTTATGTCCATGCACTGCAATTGATAATCTGGACGACATCCCCCATTGTAAGCAGGTGGCTATGGTGGCGTGAATGCTGGCTTTGAAAAGTTAGGCGTTGAGGTACTGGCTGCCGAGGCACTAGTCTTGGAAAGCTTGGGAAAATCGGTAAGAAAGGCGGTACTTGTACTGGTGGTCGAACAGGCAGTAAAACCGATGATGTTACCGTTGCGCTTTTGTATTTGTTCTATTGGATCGCCGGAGAGATCCAACGGAGCGTTTATGTCAAGCTGGTCGAAGCCTACAGGGGACGCTCCAGCCAAAGCGTCGAACGCCTCTACGTATTTATTCTTGACCTGCTCGCCTGGCTCTAATGGAGTACTGGGAGTAGCCTGAATGGCGATAGTAATGGAGGCGACATATTTATGGTTTCATCTTGTCTTTTACTAAGGTAATTCGCTATCCAATTTCGATAGGCGGGTCCTCATGTCTGTGAAAATTCGCCATTGTTGACTCCCTTGAGGTTATCAGGCTCGGAGGACTGTATTTTGCCTACAGCAAAGCTACGCCATGGTTCTTTTCAGTCTGGTTAAAGTAGAAAGAGGGGACATATAGGGTATTCAGTGCAGCAGAGAAAGTGCAGGGTTTCGATGTCTAAAAGCATTCCCATGTCGGAATACATCTCAGTGTCGAGAAATACGTCAAAATTGAAGGGGACTCGATGTTTGCAACACTCTTGATGTCCCAGATAGATTCTGGAATCGAAAGCTTCTCACATACAACTGCAACCTGGACTATCGTAGGCTTGAAGGAATAAACTCACAAGCCTCAATATGCGTCACTATTGACTTACTTGAATTTAACTTGAGCTATTGGGATTTTGACACCAAAAATGCTGCGGCTCTATAGCATATGTGAGTATTTTTGATTCACCGAGTTGAGTTTCAATGGACTCAAGTGTCGTTCCACAAGCTCAAGGTTCTTATCCGTTGCATAAGCATTATCTATTTCAACGGTCTGTATACCTTGAAGACATGGGTTCAGGAGATTGCCCTTGAAAGCGTTTGACTTCTTGTCCAGGCTCTATTTTCTTCGTTTGGTGTATGGAAAAATGGCGTTTGAAGGCTCGTTTGCTGTTTGTTGCCGAGATGCAGAAGAACAGTATATTTGATTTGCTGAAAAATCTTTCCGAGAAAAGGCTGGCTGCGTGGGTTGTCTTGGCTCATAAGCACGGAGCCGAAAAAGTCTTTAATGAAAGACTGTTTCATCTGCATAAAGCACGACTCGATGTCAGCTATAGAACTCACCATATAGGAATGAGTTTTCTTATGAAGATTCGGGTGGAAATTCAAGGCAGGTTCCCTTACCTATATGGTCAATACCAATCGAGGAGCTGGAGCTAGAGGCCGGATCATGGCCGATTGGCAACTTGTTCTGAAGCTTATCCCCTTGAACCTTTTGCAAAGCATTAATAGCACAGAGGTTTGTATCATTAGTGCGCATCCTTTAATCGCACACCATCTCGCTTGCTCTTTCTACGCCATAACTTCACTGCCTAAAAATCCACTCTTCACATTTTCAACGCAATCAAAAATTCTTCAACCACTCACCATCAGAAAATTTCATGACTGGTATTACATTCTGAAGCCCTCATTACTGAATATTCAACATGGGGGGATTCGCAGCGTTGCCCGATGAGCTTCTTTCGATTATTGTTTCATTGGTTCCTAGCGGCACTCTCCTTTCTCTCTCTCTTGTGTCAAGGGCCTTTAATCGATGTTCAACTCCACAACTATATCGATATTTATATCTGTGGGAGTGTGGTGAAAGCACTTGTTACGCTCCCAGCTTTCTGCATTGGATAAGCAGTTATAAACTTCCCAGCTTTCCGGATTGGAGGAGCAGATATCAGCACTTAATATTATCACCTTATTATGACACGGATCAAATATATGGCACTGCATGTATTCTTGATCTGGACCTCTTCCTCCGTACCGTCACCGAATCCGAAGTGATACGTTCCTATGTTGTTGGTGTTTCTATCACTTTTAAATCAAATCAAGAAGAATCCGTATGTTCGGTAGTCCAACTTCTGCGACCCTCTCTTACATATCTTCATCTAAAGTGCGCATTGGACACAATGTTCCGAAACAGAGCATTCTTATCTCTTGCCAACCGTTTGGAAGTTGAAATATCAGAAAGAAAGGATATTGATAACCAAACAAGAGATCTTCAAAACGTTACGTACAAGGAATTAATCCTTTCATCTTTTGATTTCCCTGACATGAAATTACTCGCTCTATCTGGCGTTCGAGATTGGGATTTATTCATGCAGAATAGCCCCGATAGATCGAGTGCCTCAAACATTACATCCTTATCCCTCACCAACACGGTGCCAGCAGATCGAGGCTTGACGAAGCTTTTATCGTGGCCAAAGGCTCTAAAGTCTCTCCGTTACGAGCTCGCGCTTTCCGAGATCCGTGGTCGTAGACAGTTCGAAAGTTCTCCTTACCCAGATAGATTCGTTTTATCGGCGAGAGAATTCAGCGTCGCACTGCAACCGCATGAACATAGCCTCGAAGAACTCTTCATCGAAGGCTGCACCACGGGTAATGGACCTGACTTTGATCCAAGGCAACTTATCGATCTTCATTCATTCACCAATTTAAAATACGTTCGGCTTCCACTTAACTTTCTGTTCATATCTCAGTCAGACGCGAGCTATTATGGTATCTCCTATTCCGCCACGGCAATCTCGCAAATTCTTCCACCTGCTCTTGAGGAACTGCGCATTGGGATAGATTACGAATGGCATTGGCTGACCCTTTTCTCTCTCATTCCAATTAATGAGATGCTTTCTCCACCTTTCGATGAAGATACAAATTATGGACCAGGGGAGCTGAGCAGTTTCGTCTGTGAAATTGTGAAGAATAGGGATATGCGATACACGGGACTACGTTCAATTATATTTGAGGATGCTATGGCTTAGCGCAAGAATATCTATTTTTTCGAAGGCGAGGAAGGCTGTGCTGAGATATTTGAGGCTTGCAAAGCGGCCAATGTTCACATTTCTTGGAATGGCTATGACACGCCGCCATGATTACGTTCATATAAGCCACAGTTGTGACTGCTTAACTTGTGCAGCAACTGTTGGAAGGATAAGTTTGTCATGAACATGGTGGAGGTGATTGGTGAGAAGTTGGCGACGATAATGATAGTGGTGATTTGAAAAATTTGAATGAGAAGAAATCGAATTCGGAGCTATCCAAATGACAAGCTAGCCCCCTGCTCCCGAAGGTCCGAGATCTTTTGGGATTTGAATGCGTGCAGGATGGACACTCGTCCCATAGTTGTAATGACTGAGAATGTAAATGTTTTATTTCACTTTGGGACCTTGAATTTAGACATCCAATGTCTCACAGCAGGATGAATCAATCACAACCACGTGAGGGCCAAAAATGTACGAGATATCATTGCTTATATATTTCGCAATTCCTATCCGAAAAGTTCCCCCATTCATCCACACAATCACACTTCCCCCAAAGCGATTGATCTATAAACATCAAAGCAAATTATAAACCGTATGAGTAACCATCTATGGATCCATCCATTCATGAGTCCCAATCCCCTCCTGGCGGTTGAAGCCAAAGAACCCTCTATATATGTATATTCTCAAACGCCTTGTGCATCCCAAGTCATGATCACATCGCATCATATCATAATACATGATAGATAGATACCCACAACTCCTCCCAATGTTGAATTATTCATGTTGAAATCCTTTTGATATTAACCTTTCCTTTCCCACCCGAAAGAAAAAGTTAACCATATGCTCGCTAAATGTTAAAATGTGCAAAACAAAATGCTAAAATGCAATTATGTAGGTTGTGGAGCCGAAACACCCGTGATGCCGTTTTCAGCATCTTCAGTTGCTTCCACGGGTCCGCATGTACAGAAGAGATTGGTATCACCGTAGGCTGAAGGTATGTTAGCAAATAGAATTTCATATGAATATAGAGAAGCTTACCATCATCAAGTCTGGTGACGGATGGCCAGAATTTCTTCTCCTTGAGATAAGGCAGTGGGTATGCCGCCTGCTCTCGAGTGTATGGGCGATTCCATTCTCCAATAAGAAGATCCTTCTGAGTGTGTGGCGAATTCTTCAAGACGTTGCCTGCCTTTGGAATGGTGCCATCTTCCACGGCTTGAATTTCCTTACGGATTGATATCAATGCGTCAATGAAGCGGTCAAGTTCTTCCTTACTTTCAGACTCAGTGGGCTCGATCATAAGGGTGTTAGCGACTGGCCAACTCATAGTTGGAGCATGGAAACCATAATCCTGAAGACGCTTGGCAATATCAATAGCCTCAACACCTGCCGACTCTTTGAAACCACGAACATCGAGGATGAACTCGTGAGCACATCGAGAATTAGCGTTAGTGTACAGGATTGGGTAGTGAGGTCGGAGACGAGACATGATGTAGTTGGCATTCAAAAGAGTGATCTTGGTAGCATGGGTCAATCCTCTACCGCCCATCATCTTCACATAAGCCCAACTAATTGGCAAGATGCTTGCACTTCCAAAAGGAGCACCGCTGACTGGGGCAATGGCATTCTCACCACCGGTCTTTACCAATGGATGGCCAGGTAGGAATGGTGCCAAATGAGATTTGACACCAATTGGACCAACACCTGGACCACCACCACCGTGAGGAATACAGAATGTCTTGTGGAGGTTAAGATGACATACATCGGCACCAATCTCTCCAGGTGAACACAATCCAATTTGAGCATTCATGTTGGCGCCGTCCATATATACTTGACCTCCATGTTGATGAACAATATCACATGCGGCCTTGATTTCTGGCTCGAAAACACCAAATGTACTTGGATATGTGATCATGATAGCTCCAAGTTCTTCGCTATATTTCTCACATTTTGCTTTGAGATCTGCCATGTCGAGGTTACCAGACTTGATGTCACATTTCACAGTAACAACGCGCATACCTGCCATAGCAGCTGATGCAGGGTTGGTACCATGGGCAGAAACGGGAATCAAGCAAATATCACGCTTCTTTCCAGGCTGTTGTTCTTGGAACTTGCGAATTACACGTAACCCAGTAAATTCTCCTTGTGCACCTGAATTTGGTTGCAGAGATACTGCATCAAATCCAGTGATAGTAGCCAGATCGGCCTCAAGCTCATCAATCATAGTCTTGTAACCAGTTGCCTGATTAGTAGGAACAAAGGGATGAATTGAGGAGAATTCCGGCCATGTAACTGGAGCCATCTCGGTAGTGGCATTGAGTTTCATTGTACAGGAGCCCAGGGGTATCATGGAATGTGTCAGGGACAGATCCTTTGATTGGAGGTGGTGAATGTAACGGAGAATCTCGGTTTCGGAGTGGTGTGTGTTGAAAACTGGATGAGTGAGGTATTGCGATGATCTCTTCAATTCTGCAGGAATCGAACTATCAAAAGAGGTTTGCAACTCAGTAGTGTTCTTGAAAGATCCAGATCCTGTCTTGGAAAATTTGGCAAACACAGATATGATATCTTCAAGGTCCTTGATGTCAACCGTTTCGTCAATAGTGATACCAAGTCGGCTATCATCGAACTTTCTTAGATTGATCTTGAAAGTCTCGGTAGCATAGTTGAGGACTTCATCAGATTTACCCTGTCCAACATCAACCACGACCGTGTCAAAGAGAACTTTTCCGTCGGAGCCCGTTCCCCTGGAGTTGGTCTCAAATCCAAGGCTCTTGAGTCCGTCCTGAACAAATCGAGCTCCTTGAATAGCTCTCTCAGCAATAGCCTTGAGACCTTCTGGACCATGGTAGACTGCATAGAATGCACTCATGTTAGCCAATAATGCTTGAGCCGTGCACACATTGCTAGTAGCCTTTTCTCTGCGGATATGCTGTTCTCTAGTTTGCAAAGCCAATCTCATTGCCTTGTCCCCCAGCCTATCTTTCGATACACCAATGAGACGTCCAGGAATCTTTCTCTTATATTTGTCACTGACGGCGAAGAAAGCGGCATGTGGACCACCATAACCAAATGGAACACCAAAACGCTGAGCATTTCCGAAAGCAATATCGGCACCAAACTCACCAGGCGGTGTGAGAACAGTAAGAGCTAAAAGATCAGTAGCAACACTGAAAGTTGCGCCTTGAGCATGGATGACATCTGCTAGACCACGGAAGTCTTCTACGCCACCCTCGGTATCCGGGTATTGTACCAAAGCTCCAATGAGATCATTTCCAAGTTCCTTGAGGCGAGCTCCACCATCTACAAGGACATCTCCAACTTCAATCTTTATATCAAATCCATCCGCTCGGCTTTGTAAAACTGCTAATGTCTGTGGGTGGACTAAATGACTAACAAAAAATGTCTTGTTCTTGTTTTTCTGCCTGGCAAGTGGAAGGGCATTCATTGACAAGGTCATGGCTTCGGCAGCGGCGGTGGATTCATCGAGTAGCGAGGCATTGGAAATTGGTAAAGCCGTCAAATCGGAGACAAGTGTTTGGAAATTTAAAAGCGATTCTAACCGACCTTGACTAATCTCAGGTTGATATGGCGTGTAGCTAGTGTACCATCCTGGACTTTCCAACACATTTCTCTTGATAACCTCCGGGACTCGGGTTCCGGCATATCCACATCCAATGTAACTTCGCATGATCGTATTTTCGGACGCAATCGACTTTAGTCTCGCAAGCAATTGAGATTCCGTGAACCCTTCTTGTGACGATTCCGATTCGGCGTCGATTTTGAGATCTTTAGAAGACAAGATGTCGCGAGGTAAAACTTGCTGCACAAACTCATCCAAACTCTTGACTGATGGATCCAAAGCTTTCAACATTTGTTCTGTAGAATCCGCATCAGGACCAATGTGTCGGCGCGCGAAGGTATCCAAAGGAGCATATACTCCCCTAGAACTTAAAGTCGAAGGCGAATTGATTGTCTCATCCTTTGCAGAGCTTTTGTAGAAAGTTCGTCGTCCAATTGGCTTCAAAACCATGGCAGAACAAGGAGATTGACCAGAGCTCCATGGTCGTGTGATGGTTGAGCTTCTCAAAGAAGAACTTCTCGATTGAAGCGCCACTCGAGCAAATCTCGCACGAAGTGCAAGACTTGAGGCAACCATTGTTCTTGAGTTTGCAGAAACCCGCGAAGCTCTTGAACCTGAAGGTTTGGTTGCGAAACTTATCAAGAAAGAGGGTCGGTGAATTTAGGAGTGAGCTGTATGAGAAAGTTAAATTCTGGGGAGGGGTCCGGAAATATTAGGAACAGCTAGGATTGTGAGTGCACCGACTGTCATAAACCCCACATTCAGATAAGATGATAGAGATAGAGATACTATCAGATATGAGTGAGATATGAGATTGATTTATGAAACAATAAAGGAAAACGACAGTGAGTATAAATAAATGAAAAGATGAGAGATGAGTCTATTTTATATGAAATCTAAAGATTATCCGACTAGTGACTTTTTTTTCTAATATGATAGAACTAGAGGCGGGATAAGGATTCATGACAAGATAAGTTCAGTCAAGCCGAAAAAAAGATTCACTCAAAACAGTGATTGATGAGCCACGAAACCGTTTTCAGTTTAGTGTACCACGAAACCTTAAATGTTCTAATTACGCACATGGAAGTAGTAAGCAAATGTGACGGGAAGAAAGATTAAAATTCATAATTGTAGTGTGTAAAACATCAACTCATCGTCGACCTTAATACTTCAACACATCTACAAGTTTATACCACAAAAATGTTCGGAGGACGTAGGTGACATCTCTAAATCATATCTGCGAACTTTTCTAACTTCAATTCTAGCACCACCACCACCATCGGCAGCCGAGCTCAAGGCTCAAGAGGAAGAAGCTACCCTTACCGTGCAACGAGTCATTACATGGTCTATTCTTCTTTATCTTTGTATGTTTTACTCTTTTCTATTAGTACCCTATCTGTACTGACTTGACGATAGC